ATTTTTATTTTTCCATTTGTTTCTTCCGGGAACCAAGTGACATAACGACGATCCAATGGACCAACTGGTCCAAAAGGACCAATCCGCGGAGCCGTTACGTTACGTCCGCGGAGCCGTTACGTCAAGACCAATCCGCGGACTTCCTCACACACACACTCAATCTTTTCTCAGGCAGCTGCAGCTCCGCGGATTTCTCAGCCTGAGACAGCGGGACGCGGCGAGGCTGTGAGTCTGTGTGTGAGCACACACACAGACTCAAAGCCAGGCTGCGGGTGTGTGTGCTCGGGCTTTTTTCGGGCTGGGTTTCGCTGTGTCTCGCTGTCTCGCCGACCCCACGCAGCAACCAGGAAACCACACCAGTAAGCCAGCTCACACTGTCTGCTCTTCGTAGCAGCGAGCCTCACAACGTCCCGCCAACACGGCACCCAGGCCCCACGCAGCATTATCATCTGTTAGTCATTACTGGTGTCATTTTCGGGTTGCTAACGCCCTTGTGAAACATAATCACTGATGTTCCGCTGTAACGGCCCCTACACACGGCGGCGTGCATTGTCGCTTGCCGGCGGGGGGGGCTGAAACTCGACCAATAACCAATCACATGAATCTCCCGCCCCAGACACACAAGCACGCGGTTTGATTGGCTAGAGCTTGTACTGGTATATGATTCGATTGGCTGACGCCTCCGTCGAGGCGTCAAAAGTAGAACAGGAGCTCCAACAAGCCGTGTAGGACAGAGAGTGAATACACATACTTTACAGAGATGCTGTATGAGAAACCAATGTGAGTTTGGAAAATTGCAATATAAATCTATTCTAGTAGACCTCAAAAATGGAATTATGATCAGTAGAAATGGCTATGACATGGGACCTTTAACTTCAGTGAGTCNGGAAAACACCACTATCAAATTCACGACATCACACAATAGAGCACTCCCGTCAGCTCTACAAACAAATATCAAACACTAATCAGGACATCTGGAGCCAGTTACAGTGAAAAATAGTCCATGCTGCTCTCTGCAGTGCAGCTCAGGCATGGACTGCCAAGCATACTGAAACGCACATTTACAGTACATCTGAGCGCGTGCGCTGTTTGTTTTTAGCAATAGTGAATTTGCCATAATACCCAACTGAGCAACACTTTTGGTCATAAACAGCACTGCAGGAGCTATTTATATTGCTTGCTATCGCCATGAAAATGTAAAGCATCACCGTATCAACGAGTATATAAAAAGACACTAGCAGTAGTGAAAGGGCAATTCATGCACCACTAGCGCGACAACACACACACACACCCACACACAAATACATTTCTTTAAAAATGACGGTTCAAGGTGGAAATACACACTTACAAGGTTCTAATTTCTCTAAATATTCCCCTCCTCCGACTCCTCGTCCTCCGTGGACCCAAATGGATTTCAGGCGCGCATGTTTGAAGGACATCCTCATTCTCTAAATGAGCTCGAGGAGCCCTCCCTCTGAGACTATAACAAGAGGATATACAGAATCCCCCGCGGAATGTATTAAAAGTTAAAAAGAGATAACGCCCGACTATCCAACCAAATGACAAGCTCTGCAGTAGCGCCAGTGATTTCATTATAATTGAACGCTATAATCTCTATAAGAGGTTATTAGAAACCTGAAACTTTGAGCTTTCACGGGTTTCTAAACCTCAAGCCGTCCAAATTCATTTCTACAGTAAGAGTGACACATTTAAAGTTGACCTTCTGTAACCATCATACATCTAGCCTTCTATATCAATAAATAACAAAACAATTCACCTCAGCCTCAGTCTGAGAAGCAACAGCACAAGACATCGTGTAGAATGATAAAGTAAAGACTGTACGAAAACTGCCGCAGATACCTGTAGATCATTAATAGCAACTACTTGGTAGGTTATAAAAATCTACCTTGTCAGGCGCGCACTCGTCAACAAAATTAGAAGTCCACAGTTGGAGTAAGACAAACCTACCTGTCACACAACTCACATGACAACGAGAGAATCTACTCTTATTGCTGTAACCGCTTCCAACCTACCTGACTATCCCCTCACTACGGGGAAACTTCCGCCATCTGCACCCTTTCGACAGTGGGCGGGACCTAGACAACAAAAGCCGATAGATCAGGATCGCAGGAAGAGGGAATTAAGAAATGTTAACACAAACCTTCTCATCGGCACTGTAGCTTACATGTAAGAGCAACTGTTGCGCCTGAACGCAATCTCTGTGTGTATACGGTGTATTTTACACATGCCTTGGCTTATGACTGCCGCGGTTTAGAGGGCGAGGTGTTGATGCTCCTCTTGTGCCTATGTAGATCCGTGGCATTCGGATAAGTATTGATGGCGGTGATGGGCCGTAGACGAGCGAGGTAGCCAAGCACGCACGATGCAGCTCTGGTGGCATTCGACTTTCCCTTATAGAAGATAGCCTGTTGTAAGTCTGAGACCCGAACACATAATTCACATTATCATCTTCAAAACAGACCCCTACTCATATAAAGTGGAGGGTTCCATATTTGTGCACAACGAAACACTAACTATTTTCCAAATTATTAGGGAAGTATTCAAGAGAGGATTGAATATTGAAAATTGAATTTTAAATAATAAAAATGGACCTATCATGCTATATTGAATAATATATTGTACAGGCCATACCTAAGATAAAAAATTTTTTTTCAAATACCAAAAACAGATCATGCATTTTAGCCATGAGAAATTGACACTAATTTGCTCTTTTTAGCCCTGTTTGCAAGAGAATCTGTTAAAGTTTTTTTTAGGCAGACTACAGCGCGCCACCTACAGGAATGTACAACAGCGCTCCAGCGCTTTCGAAAGGCAATGGCGGTGGCGCTCCTCCGAAGCGGAGAGTTGTCGCAACATCATAGGCGGAGCTCCTCGTTTTGACATCAGGATATAACTGGATCAGTCTGTATCAGATCCGTGGCAGCATAGAAAAAAAATTTCGACGACTGGAGAGTTTCCACCGGGACACATATTCCATGTATAAAAACAGACACAAAAGTGCAGTTGCATGATAGGTCCCCCTTAAATTAAAGATTGAAACTAATGATTATGAGGTTAGAAGGCGTCGCTAAATATCAATAACAAATACAATTGATGTTAAATAAATAAAATAATTAAATTGGCTTCATTCAAAAAATTTTCATAGTATGCTATGATACAGTAAAAAAAAAAAATGTTTAAAAATGATCAATCGATTCAATACGAAAACGGGATTGGGGTAAAAGCCGGTGAAATGAAATTGAGACTTTCAGAAGGCAAAGTGCACACAGTTTTGTGATGAAACATGTATAACATCTCATTTTTCCCAACCAAAGAGTTTCTTCTATTCAGATTAGAACACATACACCAAGGCTCTTACTGCCTCAGGTTGATACCAACTTAACTTCATAAGGACTCAAAACTGATCTGTATGACAAACAATCCAATCCAAGCATAATTATACCAGACTAAGATCAACTCCTCCTCTCATTAATACCAGTGGAAATTTTGTAGGATGCACGTATTCATACACGAAAAATAATATCAGACATAAAATCTTCTTCTTCTCTTTTTACAGCCATCTCGCCTCTCTTCCACCAACCTCTTGGACTCAAGTGTGGTCTTTCACTTAACTTTTTACATTCTCACCTACTAAAACTCTCTCAAACACACACACAACAGGGATGTCTCAGCTGTGCTCTAGATATAATATCTGCCATTCTTTCTGTCATAAAAAACATAATCCCACGAAGGTCCAACGGCTGACAGGCAGTTGACATACTCAGCTGAAATAAAAATTGTTTTTTGTGAGCTACAGTAAGTCTTGCATGTTCTATATATGTCCTAGTTGAACCTATATGTTATACATAGCAAATTACTAACTGCAATACCTACCAGAACCTAATGTCCTGCTATACAGATAAAGGAAATTGCCACATCCAGCAGCTAATTTCCTCCTTGTTACTCAAAACATCTGAACATGGCACATCTTACTGAGTGAAGCAACTTATAATCGTGAGATACAAGAACAGACACTAAACATGAATGCAAAATACGAGGGAATGATATACCTCTAAATATTGCTTTTCCACAATAACTTAAATAATTTTAAATTAACGACTGTTTATGTTAGGAACCTGACTTAGTTTGGCAATTACCAAGCGAGTTAGAGGTTACGGACATGTTGTGTTACGGTTAAGAAATGCAAATAGAGCGGTTTTGTGACAGAACCCTTGCATGATTGGTTTCATCAGCAGCTGGATTGTCAGTGTTTGTGAGTCTCAAAACAGCTTGGTGAAATTGAACAGGTGCAGTGCAAAACCCTTGCCTTGAGCAGTCGTGTCATCCCCTCTTTCTCTTACATAAAGGCACTG